ATTCACTCCTCCATGACTTACTGTTATTCCTATTGCCACTGCAAGAGGTGATCCATCAGCAGTGCAACTGGTTGTTTTGCTGGCACAAGAGCCAGGAGTCACATGTGTGAGGGTTCAGGCACTGGGCAATGCTCTGCCAACACCCAAAAATGTGCCACCACCACTGGTGCCACCGTGGGTCCCACTCAGGCAGCACTGCAGGGGACACAGCAGCAGCTCTGTGCAGAGCTGAACTCTGCCAGCTGCGCCGTGCAGGCAACAATAAAATGGATGTGGAACACATGACTTCAGAAGAACAAATAGCAAAAATAAATAAGCATCTTTCTCCCGTGAAGCTGCTTGCAGGTCCTGCCTCAAGGCTGCAAGAAAACAGCTCTGTGAGCAGGGGGCTGTAAATGTTGTGTGAAACTCCCCAGCCCAGGCTCAGGGGAATCCTGGGCCTGACTCGTATTTTCTTTCCAAAATGACATGTTTGTGTTTATGCCACCTCCGCTTGAGACGTGATCCAGCATTCCTGAAATAAACTTAAGTCCTTCAATAGCCTTTAGCTCTGTCTAAATCAGCTGCTCCTCTGATTTTTGTTCTTTCTTCCATTCCTCCCTCCCACTAGTCGGGACTTTTCCTTCCCTGGCACTGCATAGCTTAGCTCATCAAGCCAGCAACAGCTGTCCTGTGCCTACTCCCAACCCTGGGAATGTCATCTCATTTGTCTGGTCCATCTCTGCCCATCCTCTCTCCAGACAGAAGTACCCAGTAGATATATCCAGTTTGCTTCCCCAGGTCTCTCTCCTTGATAACATTTCCCTTTTCCACACCACCTGCAGCCACAAGCCCGCTCCAGCTCTGGCCAGACGTGCTCCAGGCCCAGCACATCAGCTGGATGTGGCCATGCAGGGGCAGAGCAAGCAGGGAAAAACCTTCCCTGGCATCCAAGAACACTCTGGAGTGGCACACATTGCTGGCAGGAGATGTTTTCCCCTGACTCAGCTCAGCACTATTCCCTAGCTCGGCATCCTGCTCTGGCAGCCATCTTCCAGGGAACAGAGAGATCCACAGCACCAGATCCCAGTCCATGGATCCATTCAGAGGCCAGATCTCTGTGTGTGTGGATATTCTCCTTTTCTGAAAAGCTGCTCTGTGTGGCCTGGAAGGAAATGGGCCAAGGTCCTTATGGTTGTTAAAAATCTCATGATACTTTTGCAAGCAGGATGGTGTAAATCAAACAACTGGGCACAAGCTCCCTCGCTCTGGGTAATTTATATTCTGCCTCACTAAGTTCATCTCTGCACTTCCAATGCATGAAGTGATTTTTCACTTCCCCTGTAGTATTTGCTGGCACGGAAAAGCTGCTGGGCTCTGTCCCAGAAGTAGCTGCATTTCATCACCGGGTGAACGATCCCTGCACGCACCGGGCCGGCTCCCCGCAGGCTCCGCTCGCCCCGCGGCACCGTAGTGGGAGGACGGGGCCCGCACCGGTGCAGCCTCACTTGGGCTCCAGGAGCCGAGCCCCGGCGGCACCGAGCGCCCACCCCCGGCCCCTCCGCCTTACCCGCGGCTGGGGATGGGGGCGGGGGATGCGGGCAAGGATGGAAGGGATGCGGGCAGGGATGCGGGCAGGGATGCGGGCAGGGATGGAAGGGATGCGGGCAGAGATGCAGGAAGGGATGCGGACAGGGGATGATGCCAAGGAATGCGGGCAGGGGTGAAGCGGGCAGGGATGAAGCGGGCAGGGGTGAAGCGGGAAGGGATGATGCGGGAAAGGATGATACGGGAAAGGATGATACGGGAAGGGATGATGCAGGCAGGGATGAAGCGGGCAGGGATGAAGCAGCAGGGATGATGCGGGCAGGGATGAAGCAGCAGGGATGATGCGGGCAGGGATGAAGCAGCAGGGATGAAGCGGGCAGGGATGAAGCAGCAGGGATGATGCGGGCAGGGATGAAGCGGGCAGGGATGAAGCAGCAGGGATGAAGGAGCAGGGATGCTGCGGGCAGGGGTGCGGGGGAGCCTCGCTCCGCTCCGCGCTGCTCCGCTCCCGGCGCTGCGTGGAGCCACAGCGCCCCCTCCTGGGGCCCGGCGGCACCGCCTGCCCGCCGCGCTGGAGCTGCGGGGCTGAGCGGGGCTGTGCGGGGTTTTGGGGCGATGAGCGGGGCTGTGCGGGGTTTTGCGGGGCTGTGCGGGGTTGAGTGGGGCTGAGCGGGGTTTTGCGGGGTTTTGCGGGGCTGGAGCTGTGCGGGGCTGAGCGGAGCTGAGCGGGGTTTTGTGGGGCTGAGTGGGGTGTGTTCCCTTCCCAGGGAAGTTCCTCCCTGATTTCCCACATCCAAACGAGCATCTCGAGGTGCTCAGGGGGTTTCTCACCCTCGTTTATGTTCTTCAGCGATTTTTCCCAACTCCCCAACCCTCCACCCCGATCAATTTTTTCCTCCTTTTTCAACATCTCTGCATCAGCTGTAAATAGCAAGTCCTGGATAAAGTCTAGAAATCCACATCCATTCCTGGAGGTGGGCAGGGAGCTGGGTGCAGGTCCCTGGCTCTGGAGTCAGTTCCTGCCGTGCTCTCCCGAGCAATGCACCTGGAGAAGGTGGTGGGGCTCCTGCCTGAGCAAAGACGGGAGGATTTGGCTTTGAACTATTTCTGTCACACAGACAACAGTGACTATTGTCTGCTGGCAGACCCATTCCCACGTAGTGTTTAGCATCCTCCTTACGCATACTTCCAGTGTAGTAAACAGTGGCGGTTAGGAGGGAACAGAGGCACATTCCGTGCCATTTCTTTTGGGACACATTTTACCTAAAACCAGCCAATTGACCATATGTTCCTCCTCTCCAAAGTTTTAACACAGACTTTAGTCAGCCTCTTTATATTCCTGCTCTTGGAGGCTTGTTTCCTCACTAGGCCCCATGGAAAGAGGGGAAGAGGAGAAGGTCAGAGGGGAATGCTAAACACCTCTAACACCAATTACATCATCTCCCCTGTGCCCACTGTGTCATTGCTGATCAAAGGGGCATGCAAAGAGACCACCTGTCCCTTGGGGATGGGAGGGATGGGAGGGATTTTCTCTGAACCACGGTGATTTTCTCTGAATCTCTCCTCCGAAGAGGAGCCTTGCATTGTGTGTTTTAGCCGTAGATGTGTGTGTGGTTCTGCTCACAGACATTAAAAAGCTACATAACTCCAGCAGAGCTCTTCCCATACTTCCAGACTCCAGCTCTTGATCAGAGAAGACATGATGAGTATGGAATTGCCACCACTCCCCCAGCCATTTCCCTGCTTCCCTGTCTGCCCATCATCTGCCTTTCCAGTAGTGAAATCATTCCCGAGTCCTGGGAATCTGCAAAGAGCCATAAAACAAACATAGACACACCAAATGTAGAGGGTTTTCTGCTGACTTGCAAAGGGCTCTGGAGTCAGACAAACCCCAAATCAATGCCTTGAACCAACTACGAGAGAAAGCTACACTGGAGGAACAAACCACCTTCTGCGAGCCCTGCAAAGAGGAAAGCATGTGTGTGCTCATGCGAACTTCTGAAGGTTTGATTTCCATAAGAAGAATATCAATGCAGCTATTTCTGCACGTTCTGGTGTGTGTGGGTCCCAGCTGTGCGGCTGAGCGTGCGGGGACTGCGGGGCCACAGAGCTTGGAGAGGTGTTTGCATCCACGGCAGAGCGAGCCCGAGGTGCTGTGTGTGAGCACGGGGAGGGCTCTGAGTGCCACAACATGTGCTGGGTGTGCTGGGCGTGTGCATGCTCCAGGGAGACCACGGGGGCTTGTCTGGGGTGTGTGGGAGGGAGAGAGTCCAGGGCTTGCTGTCTGCTACTCACAAGCAGAGCTGATCGATATTTTTCCTTTAGAAGGGATTTTTTTTCAAGAACCTTTCATGTTCCGTACACCAAAGCCACATCTCTTCACTCGCTCCCTCCTCCTCTCACTCATGTCTCCCAAATACTTCTCTACAACTCCTGGGAAAAGCAGATTTACTGCCTTTAACAATTATTATTATGCAGCCAGATGAGCAGCCAGAGTAAAGCATGAAGGACCCTTCTGTCCTGCCCAGTGCAGATATCAATCACACGGCTAAATTCAAACAGCAATTCTGCCAGCACTTCATCTGCTGCTGGGTTCTCTCCATGAAGAGGAGACTGCATCCAAGAAGTGACACCTCCTCCCCTTCCGCGTTCTCAGGAACCAGCACGGGGGAACTCTCCAAAGCCAAAACACGCACACCTATAACCCCCCTCCTCTGTCCAGATCGCCCCGGGGGTTTTAGCCCCAGGCTGTGCCGGACCTCGGGGATGATGCAATGGCACGGAGATGCCCTCCGTCCCGCCGTTCCCCAAGGAATGCAAAAAGGCAAAGTTACGCTCCGCACCAGCCTCGCCAGCAGCGCTGGATGGGGAAATGAATGTGGGGAAAACCCATCTCCAGCCCCGCGGGGTGCAGCTCCCCGCCATCCCTACCCTCCCCCGGCTCTGCCGCCGTCTCCCATCCCCGCTGGAAGTAGGGGCAATCAGCCCAGTGTGGGATTCGAGGCGACAGACTTTCCTTTTCCTCCGCGATTTGCTTGTCACTTGCGAAAGCGGAGCAGTGGATTAAGTGGAGATGACACCATCTCCTTGGGGACGGTCCCCCCCTGCTCCGGGATGTATCGATACTCCGGAATACAGATGGATCCTGGCTGCCTCCCACCCCCGCCGCCACCCGCGCCTCGCCACCAGCCCAGCCGAGCCGGGGCTGAACCCCAATTGCCGAGCATCCTCCGGGGAGGGGGGGCTGCCCCAGTAAAACCAGCGCTCCCAGCCCTCCCAGTGCGCGAATCTCGGCCCCTGGCTCGGCAGCACGCATGCAGAACGGCTGCTGAGCTGCGGGACCGGGCCGTCCATCGGTGCCGAAGCCTCGGCGCTGCCCAGGGCGGGGGGATCGTTACACAACGCGGGCAGGAGCGGGGAGCCGGCCCGGGCAGGGGCAGCGCCGCAGCCGCAGCACGGCAGCGCTCCCTTACCTGATGCTAATGTCCCTCTGTGGCGGAGAGCGGCTCGCCCGTGGCTTTTATTCGGCTCGGTAGGAACTTGTGGGAGAGCTTCTCTGTCCAGCTCGCATACTGGGTGCGGGGCTGATACTGCGGGCGTGAAAATCCTGGGGCTCTAGCAGTCCTTTTCATGCTCAGACAGAAAATCCCCTTCCCTGATCCAGATCGCGGGCATTAAGGGCAGAGGCAAGGAAAAAAAAATCCTCTTCTCGCCTTCTTCCTTTTCCTTTTTCTTGTTTTTTTTTCCCCCCTCTTCCTGTGCCCCCCCCTCTTCTGCTGCTCAGTTCGTAGCCATCGGGGGAAAGAGCAGAGGCAGCAGTGAGAATGGAGAGGCGGTTAGAAATAAAAATGAAAAGAGCTCCAGGAGAGAAGCGAGAGGCTGGGCTTGCCACCGGAGGAGGGGCTTGGAGCGGGCTGGAGAGGATGAATGGGGCAGAGGAAAGCAGGGCGGAGCCCCAGCTTGGCCATTTTATTCTAAGAAGTGTTTTGTACATAATTAGAGAAGAGGAGGGGCCGGGGGCAAAAAGGAGGGACTTCGGCTCCGGCCAGACAGAGGCCGTGGGAAGGGAGGGTGAGACCGGGAAGGGCGGCGGGATGGGGCTGCGGGAGGGGTGGAAACTTGTCTGCCGAGGAGGGATCCGAGGAGGACTGGGGAGGAGGCTGCAGCGGGGCCGGTTGCCATTCCAGGAAGACCCCGTCTATTTAATATTTTTATTATTTTTTTTTCTACACCCCCAAGCCGTCAATTTTCTCCTCCCGGACCCGGACAGCTCCGGGATGATGATGGGAGAGCAGGATGCTCCCAGCCTCGCTGTGGGGATCGCGCCTCTCCTCCAGGAGCTGGGCCGGGGACGAGCGGCTCCCCATCCCCGGGAGAGCGCGGTTCAGCACCGCGGACAGCGCCGGGAGAGCAGGGCCGGGCCGGGCAGAGCCGGGATGGGCTTGAACCGGGCTGAACCGAGCTGAGCTGAACCGGGCTGAACCGAGCTGAGCTGAGCCGGGCTGAGCCGAGCTGGGCTGAGCCGGACTGAGCCGAGCTGAGATGAGCCGGGCTGAGCCGAGCCGGGCTGAGCCGAGCTGAGCCGGGATGGGCTGATCCGAACCGAGCCGAACTAACTGGAGGCAGCCGGCTGCGCTCCCGGCCCGGCTGTGCCCCCCGTGTGAAAGTCCCGCCGCTGGGCTTGCAGATGGCTTGGGATGAGGAATGGAGATTTAAGGGCATGACCCACCCAGATAAACCTCAGCAGATCAGCAAAGGCAGCCCGGGGTAGGGGCAGAGCTTCACAACGCTGTGATCTGAGGTTTCCAGACAGGGACCCCTTGGTTTCCAGACACTACCCCTGGGCTGGGCTGGGCTGGGCTGGGCTGGGCTGATAGAGGGAAAAAATCAGCCACCTCGTGCAGGGTATGTGAGGCAAGGAGGGCAATGGGAGACACCCTCCTTCCTGCAAGGACAAGCCCTTCTCTGGCCTGCAAGGACACTCTGTCCTTCTCTCACCCATCCCCTGTGGCTACAGAACATTGTCTTCTGCTAAATCTTCAGCAAATCTTTCCTAAGCAGAATTAGAAGCTGTTTTGTTAAACTCCAAGCTGCTCTGGCAGGGCTGAAGCTTAGCTGATCTGTTACAGGGTCCCCAAATCTCCCGAGGTGTGCCTTTTTCCAGGTGACTGTTCACCCACAAAGCACACTTCCTGGTGAGCCACCTTGGATTCTGTCACACTGGTTCAAATCAAAGACTGAAATTATTCTCACAAATTCCCCCCGTGCAAAGCCACAGAGGAAACTCCACAGCAGGGAAAGTTCAGGAATTGGGTCTTACACAGAACAGACAAACAAGGTCAAAGCCCTTGTTTAAACAAATGAATGGCACTTGGGGCTATCATCAATGTGTTCTTTCACTGATGTTCTTGACATTTACCAGAAATAGAAGGGGAACCCTTGTGTCCTACATGAGGCTGTTTGAAATTAAAGCAAAGCCTCCATGAACCTGCAGTGCAGCCATATGGGATTTGCCAACTCCACCAATGCAGCAGTTCTGGGTGTCTTTCCTCACTGTGCCTGAGAAGGCTTCTGTGATTTGGTCTAGCAGGATTTGGCACCACCCAGAACGATATTTCATATTGCTGTGAAGAGGAAGAGAGAGAAAACAAGTGAGATGATACTCCTCAGGCATCCAGGGTCTCACAAGCCTCGGGAACATTTCCTCACCCAAGGGCTGGATCTGTGTCAGGGGAGGGTTAGGTTGCAGATCAGGAAAAGGTTCTTGTCCCAGAGGATGCTGGCACTGCCCAGGCTCCGCAGGGAAGGGGCATGGCCAGAGCTGCCAGAGCTCCAGGAGTGCTTGGACAATGCTCACAAGGACAGGGTGTGTTTTTTGGGGTGTCTGTTCAGGGCCAGGAGCTGGACTGATGATCTTTGTGGGTCTCTTCCAACTCAGCGTATTCCAAGATTCTGTAATTCTGTGATAAAAACTCTCTACAAAATAACACCTCCATCCAGAAAGTCCAAGTCAACCAACTCCAGGAAATAAGATTTTCCTTCAATATAATAAAAATATAATTAGAGGAAAGCATAAAACAATGCAAAAAGAGTAGTTTTGTTTATAATTTTCCTGTCCAGAATGTTTTCCCTGTCTCCCCCCACAAATCACACACACACTGTTGCTGCCTCATTTCCCAAAGCTGTGACTGTCTCTGTATTGAGAGCGGATTATTTGGTGCATTGAGTATTCAACATGTTCTCTTACAGTATTGTTGTGTTCAATGAGCTTTGCTCATCTGAATGGACACTCACTGCATAGTCCACTGGTTTAATTTGCTGCTTTGGAAACCTAAGCAGGTTACTGCATATTTAGCTATGTGTCTGTTCTTATGTGTCAAAGATAAGGTTTCTGGATGTCATTTTTAAAAACAAAATTTTTTCACTTCAGTAGCTTTCTCTTTTCAGTGGTCTCTTCTTTTTAGTCTTGGGTATTTCAACTCACCTTCTCTCCTACAATGAACAAAGCCTCGATCTTCACCCCAAACCAGCAAAGCTCCATTGAACAAGGATTTCTATTTCTTCTTCCAGTAAGGAGTGTTTTTTTGAGCTTTTAACAATTTTAGCACATTCAATCCTCACTTTTTTCACCCTTCTTTCCACATATATCTTGAAAGTAATATTTGGACTTCTTCAAACTATAATATTGTTCCCATGATGAAAATAGAAACCAGTCTATCAGGGGAGGATATGAAGAAGAACAGAAATTCACAACACACAGGGGGAAGAGAGTCTCCAATTTGCATGCACCGGACAAACAAAAAATTACAGCAGTGATAAGGATGGGGAAACAGTAATTTGGACTCTTCATTAGAAGTTTAGGAAGAAGTCACATGGAACTGAGAGACCTAGAAAGCAGAGAAGTGTCCATGTTGATCACTTAACAGCTGCCACAATGATGGACCAAGATGTTTCTGTGGTGTGTTGTGTTCCAGGTGTGCTGTGGGTGTGGGTTAACCCCAGTGTTCAGCTCAACACAGCACAGTCATCCCCTCACTGCCCTCCAGCCCTCACTCCAGGGGCCTGGGGGAAGAGGAAAAGGCAAATAAAAACAAGAAAAACTTGGTGGCCAAGAGGAAAAAAAAATCAAAATTGAAGCAGTAGAAGATATCTCAAAGAAAAGAAGTTAGACAAAGGCAACCATTCACCACATCCCACAGGTAGACAAATACCCAGCTGGATCCCAAACAAAAGATGACTAATCTAACTAAAATACTCTTTTTCCAATTTTCATTGCTGAGCAAGATGTTCATGATCAAAATCATCAGCATATTAACAACAAATGTTTTGGTCACAGACCTACAACAGGCTCCTATGAGCTGCTCTAAGGGAAATTCACTCTACCCCAAGCAGGCCAGCACAAAGGGCCATTATTATCTCTTGGAAAAGGAGCTGTATGTGCCAGCTGCACACAGCGAATTCTTCATCTCTGTGATTCTACAGCAAAACTCACTCCAGAGCCCCATGAGCTGGTGAAGATATTCAGACTCCACTCTGTGTTCCTCTTGTGCTACTGGCAAACTTTTCTTTCCCACATATCCTGTTGTCCTCCTTGAGGATGCACAATGTATTCTTGTCAAGGTTTCGCAGACTTCATTGTTTATTACAGGCTAAAAATGGATTAAACTTGCTTTGTGAGCATTGTATTGATATTCTGGTGCTCTCCCAGTCTCTTGTGAAATATATTTCCTCTTTCTCCTCTGCAAACGATATCACAGCAAGCAGTGATCTTGCTCAGAGTGTTCTTTGTGCTGCTGGCTGCAGAGATATCCTGTGCACCAACCAGATTCATCTGCTGCTGGGATCCCTGAACACCTGGATGAGTGTCTGAGTGTTCCCCAAGCAGGATGGGTGACACAAAGGGCTCTGTGGCCAGACAGCTTCCAGGCTGTTCTAATGGATGGCAGCAAGAAGGTTGTGAATGGGCTCAAGGGTCCAGCCAAGAGGCAAAGAGCAGAGCCTGTTTCCATCACCTCCAGATGCAGAATTAAAGGTTTGAGTCTTCAGCAGTGGCTGGGGAAAGGCTGGAATCCCTGCCCAAGACAAAATGCTGGCAGGTCCAAACAGAGTGGGAAGAAGCAGTAGGGAAATGCTTGGGTTTTTTTCTAAAAGGAGTTTCTGAGTTCCACTGCACTAAACTGAATTCTCGTCCTCAGTGCAGTTCTTAGATACCTTAAAAACTCTGAACTCATGAATCTTTCCAAATAGGGGCTTCCCCATCTTTGCATTGTTCCTAAATTAACAGATCCCAAATTTATCAGTTTACATAAATCCCTTCCCAGGTTCAAACTAACAAAGGCAGAAATGCCATAACTTCAGAATCAAACTCCAGCTATCCTGGGCACCCATCTTTCAGGACACTTGCTCTGAGCACCGAGAGCTTCTGGGCTTACAGAATGAGATTTTCAGTTTCCTGAGATCCAGCTTTCTAATTAGCTTTTTTTTGACTTTTTTTCCCTGCTGGTCTGCTTCTTAGCAGATGTCTTGTGAGAAAGAAAGTAAATAGTGATTTGTCTTTCATCGAGGTTTAAACTAAGGCAGCGACCACTTTAAAGTCCAATCTAGGAAAATACAGTGGGCAGAAAGAACAGTGGGAATTGGTTATTTCCCAGCTCTGAAGACTGTTTCCCAACTGTCATTGATATGACAGTTCCTGGCCAAGACTAGATGATACAAATTAATTATTTGATCCATTGGATTTGTGGGAATTAGAACAGGCCAGACATTTGGTTTCAGGTTTTCATCTAAACATTCTCTGCAGTTAACAGAAGGTGGTAATTTTA